GGTGGATGTGTCACTCAATTTCGTGGATCGGTTAAAGCTGGACATTAACGCCATTGGATGCCAGCTCAGCGTTCTAGAGGTTAAGCGTACTCGCGAGAGAACGATAGGTCTTGTGTTCGAATTTTGAGAAGCGAGGTCGTAAATGCGCACTGCTAAGGAGTCCCACAATAGGACGAACCGTCCATTTAGTGCTTCCACGTTTTCCATGGTGGTCTAGATTTAGTTGACTCATGATCTTAACTACTGAAATTTGAAAATATTTCGAATGTTATTTTCATCTTTCTTAATCATTTCAGTAAAAAATCTATAACTGATAAATAGAAAAAGAAGTTAGTCACCTAAACGTTTGAGTGGTATTTTTTTTAAAATGATAATATATTTATTTCCTGAGAACACTTATGAGTCAACCATTATAAGTACCAGAGATTCAGAAATTTCAAAAGTATTTTTTCAAGTTGTATACAGAACTATGATTGGTATAAAATCAACACTGCCATATTTGAGGATTCTGAAATATTTCATAATCTATCGATATAACCGTATTTATCTAAATAACATCCGAGAAAATGTTTGTGAATGTTTGAAATGCCTTCTAATAGCGACTAGTTGCTTAAAGCTAGGAACGTTCTAGCAGACCAGTATAGCATCTACCAAATGTGATAGAGTTTATCACACATATATCTTGCGTATTCGGCAATTATACATCTCAAATGTGTTAAAATGAGATAAAGTCTGTGATAAATAAAATGATATCAGAACCTAAAATAAACTTCTTCGAGCTTATTTTCCAAAAAAAGTTCACCATTCATTCAAACTCAGATTTCTGATCTAACGGTTTTCTATGGTCACAAATCAATGTTCATATAATTTTCCGCGAAATAAACCTTGTAGTGAACGAGAACACAATTGGGGACAACCAGATGTTGTTGAATACAAAATTACACAGTCTCTGAGTGAAATCTGAGAACCATACAATATATAGTTCATTTGCAAAATATCAGTCAATCATCTCGGACATCATGGTTCCTTTGTTTCTACAGCAATCATTCTCTGTTCTCGTTTTCTTTTCTTAAGTCTTCTTAACCTTCTGCCGCCAGGTATTTTACCTTCGACTGATGATACATACTACTTAAATCTATTGACATCAATAGCACACACAACAATCTGACAAAACGAAATTGGGTTCCGAAAATTCCGATAATTGTTTATAACTAGTATACATTTATTCTCGTGATATTCTCCTGCTTATATAACCAATAAATACTAAGACGAGACGGCCGTTCAGTGTTTCCAGGTTTTCAATAATGGTCTAGCTTAAATCGACTCATGAATTCAACTGTTAACATTACTACAATCTCCAGAAATCTCCATTCTAAAAATGTTAAAAGAAAAACAGAAATAGAAATTTATGATATGTTACATAATTTTTATCCACATTTTCAATTAAACTTAGATTCTATCTATTCCCTTCATCTTTAATATGACTGATTATTCAAGTTACATTGAATCTAACTTTCTTTTGTCTCATTAAATTGACACAATAACAAATAAAACTGTTTAATAATTTTTGTAACAAAACGTAGATCCTTTACTCAATGTAACAAACTAACTCTTTTTTTTCCATTATTGAGGTTAGCCAAAAACGCACATGAAGTTCTTAGTTATGCTTCATTGATTTCTTTAATAAGAAAATAAGTGAGTATCTATATCTATATCTATATGACTCAGAAATATGATCAAACTTATTAAATTGGGAGAGACCAATTTCTTATTACCTTTCAATTAAAAGACAAAACATAATCATTTAGTCTGTTTCAACCAATAATGAATTCGTTGAAATCTATACATAAATATATCCAATGTTTTGTTTTTTATTATATCAGCTCATAATTAAATTAAAATAGACAATTAACAGAAGGGAAAGAAAAAAAACTATCTCTCATTTATTTTTCAATGGAATCAACTTGACTTATTCATTGTATTATGGTGATGGTCTCCTTTTAAATAAAACTAAGATAATTAATAATTGTTTTCTTAATAAATTGCAATCAGAATGAATATGCATTCACCCAGATTGATGCTGAGGCACCATTGAGTGTTATTTATTTTCATTTGTGTTATTTTGAACAGTTCAAATTGATATGCCTGATATATGTAATATAGCATGTTTTCAACATAAAAGATAGATCTGACTATATAAAGGTGGTTAGTAGACTGGTTGAAAGCAAATTATCTTATCTGAACGATGAGACTTAAAGTATTTCAAAACAACTGATGCAACATTAAAAATTAACATCTTCTTTATCCACTAACATGAATATATTTATAATTATTAAGGTATTACAACGGTAAAATGTTATCACTTCAAAATGGAGTAAAGTAAACAGATACAATTAAATAGTTGAAATCATGAGTCAATTGAAGCTAGACCACCATGGAAAACCTGGAACCACTGGACGGCCGTTTCGTTTTATCTTGGGACTCCTCAGCAGTGCGAATCCACGATCCCGCCTCGCTAGATTCGAACCAATGACCTACTAGTCTCGCGTCAGAGCACACAACCGATAGACCACTGAGCCGGCATCCGATGATTTTAATGTCTAATTTGAACCAATCCACGAAGTTGAGCAACCGTTCACCAATTGTCGTCAGTGAGTTACTATCCCACAACAGACCTGGTTGAATTCCACTAGTCACTGCTTCTCATTAGAACTCCAAGAGTTCCACAATAGGACGAAACGGCCATCCAGTGCTTCCAGCTTTTCCATGGTGGTCTAGCTTCAATCGAATCATGATTTCAACTATGCAAATACTGAAATCTCCACAAAACTCCTCCTGGTAAGATATAATTACGTCAAATATTGGTTCATAAGTGTAACATGGCTGGAACGCTATTAAACTATAGAATACTGTTTCCGAAAATCCACTGTATCCTGTGACAGAGAAAATAATAAACACAACAAAAATTTGTTTTTTTTCGTATTTGCAAAACCTATTGATAACATCACAATCTTGAACATTGAAACAGTGACTGTACAAGTGTTATTTGCATTAGATTTCGTCTTTCTATCAGTGTTGATGAGTAATTCAGTACAAGATGTAAATGTTATTTTACTGAATACAGTAGAAATTACGGCTATTTTTGACTAAATCATGATTCGAAATATGTAAAAGTTTACTTACTGTTTTTATATTGCTGACCACTATCTGTATGTGCTTTTGTTTCCCAAGACGATGTTCATTATTCGATTCTAATCTTCTGAAGACAAAAATTGTTTGGATTATTGACCAATAAATTTTTTGATACAGAGCGATCGCTTACTAGTGAATGACTTAACTTATTCCATTTCCAACTTCAGGTTGATTGAAGACGTAGGCTAGATTATTAAGAAAAGTTTAACAAAGAGCGAATCATGACTGGATGATTTAGTTTCTTGGTAAACGGATTCGAAAAGTCCCTAAATTTTCAAGGATTTCTGGACCTGATTCTTTTGTTGTGAACTTCATATTATTTCAGTTGGCATATTAAAGTATCTAAAATAAATACATTTAGAGTTAACATCATTTTTATTTGATTGATTTTAAAGGAATTATCAACCAACCACTAATTTTCAGTAGCTCAATTCCTTACAGATATTGCGTGATTTGCAACCTATTTCATTGTTTTTTGATGATAAACTCAGGTTATTTCATACATTTTAAGGTCAGCTAAAACTATTGTACCATTAGTTTTTTCAACATGAATATGTCCTTTTAAACTATCATTCAAAAAAGCGCTTCCATATGACACACAGAAACCTACATTTGTTACTCCTAGTAGAGTATAAGCTGCTGACCAGGAATCGCAAACCAAATATATCCTGAGCCCTCCTATCTAATTGTTCTTAAGTGATGTTCATCAACACAAAGAAACGGTTAGGTGAAAACCAGTAAAACACTAAATACAGCAAGCAGAAACTAGTTTCTTGCCTTTTATTTATTTTCTTTATTATTTATTATTATTAGCTTTATTCAATATTATATTTTTGGTAAAATATAGAATTCTCAGCACAAAGTACTTCAACAAGTTTCCGTTTCTTACTTCTTCGTCCTTCCTGACGATAAATATTGAGTGATTGCCAGTTAGAAGTTAGCAGCCCAGTCAATAGACATCTGGATAATGTACATTCTTCTCGCTGCATATTGCCAGCAACCACGATATCTCTGATTAGGCCTTCTGTAACCATTACAGAGAAAGGTATTACACTTTTCAGAAACGCACCTGAATAGGTTGTGCGATTAGTAGGTATAATGATGTATTAAAACAAACAAAATTAGATAACTTGTTGAAATATCTAGATGAAAGGAACAGGTAGCACAGATGTTTAAACAGGCCGCCAAGTTATGATTCATTATCTTTACATTTTATTGCACACCCTTATTCCTTGGTAATACATTAGTCTGGTGTTCCTAAATAAATTTCATCATGCGATGGTAATTACGTTGGTCTATATTTTTAGTGAATAAAACTTAAATTATACTGATAATGTTTTTTAACTAATGGTCATGAATGTAGCTAAATATTCCAGTATTTCCTAGAATTCTCAAATGCGTAATTTATTGATTTTTATACTCAAAGGCATGGTAGCAGTAGTAAAGCTTAAACATTACAGCACAAAACATTCAACGAACATCTGATTAAATGGTTATCCAAGTGTTCACTTAATTGAAGTTCATGTCATTTTAAAACAGTTAATGATGATGCATCAAGTAAGGTACTTTGACATTATTGATGGAGTTTTGTTCTCTGGGCAGGATGGTTTGGTCGTGGAACTTTCATCGTCCTTCTGAACGACATCATTAGCACAAACGTCGGGTAGAAGTTGTTATGGCTCGTATACAAACTCGTAAAGGATATGGACGTGCAATGATACAGAAAAATACGTACGAGCAGTCTTGATTGCTATTCGGTCCTTCCTAACTGCCTAGCCCAGCCAGTTGAGTCCAGAACACAAATAACAGCCTCGGAAATATGAATCATTATTCACAAGCACACTGGGTTATATATACTAACCAAAACAGACCCAATTATACCAAAAAATAGAAAAATAACATTTGTACAGTAATTGGCCAATGTGGCTGTAGCTAGGGGGAAAGTAATCAATAATAATAGTTCCAAGGTCAAAACAAAGGTTGTGATAAAAGGACCACACGGAAACGATTAGGTCACTTATTTAACAACTATCCAATAGGGAATGGGCATATTGTATTTGTCCATAAATAGACATCAGATTTAGGTTACTCATTTAACAACTATCCAATAGGAATAGGCGTATTACATTTGTCCATAAATGGACATCAGATTTATGATTCATAATTCGCCAGGAGATACAACACCTCCCCTTTTTGAGAAATCCGGAGTTGATATCCGGATTTTTAATTTCCTCGAATTCACCCTCCCCCACGAAAGACTGTTGGATCCTCATATAGCCAAGTTACTATTAATGCGATATGTTTGTCACCTTTAACAGGGAATGCATTAGAACTGAAGAGATCATGAGGATCGACGACATTTGATTTGAGGTCACCAACATTTGATTCTTCTGAAATAGTTTCCTTGAATTTCCTCGGAACCTCATTAGTAGATAATGAATCATTAGGATAATCAGTATCTATGAGAGTTGTATTGGATTCTTGATTATCATTGAATACATCTGACATTTTTCTCTCATTTTTATAAGAGAATTCAACAGAAACATATGAATCATCAAAATAATCTAAATCTGGTAGAACAATTACAGAATTTTGATCATTAGATTCATTAGAAACATTTTCCGTATCATGATTAATTTCATTTGGTGCCACTGTATTCCATATACTGCTCGATTTGTTTCCCGTTTCTTCGTGGGCGGGTACTGCAGCAATTTCATGAGCATTTTGCAAGACATTTACTTTCTGTGAATAGGATAATTCATTGTTTGCACGTCCGTTTTCGGGATTAATAAGACTTGGACCGTGTACAGGGCATGTATCTGAAACAGGTAGTACTGGGTTACTGGGCTGATCATGTATAACTGCTGCGCTTAAAATATTGCTTTGTATGGATTCATTGAGGCTTTCGCCGGCATATTCATTAGTTCTGTAATCGTTTTCCAGCTCTGTACGCAATTTTGAAATTATTGCGTCAACTTCCGTTTCACCCCCAAAGCATGGGTGATTCAGCAGCTTCGCGTGTAATTTGTCAATGAAATCCAATTGACTCTTTCTGAAGCGCTGCTCTTGTCGCTGGATTAGCAACTGAAATTGGTCGCAAGTTAAAGCCATTTTTTTTAATGCAAATAATAATAATAATCCAAGAAAAAACACCGGCAATTATTATGGATTATTTAATTCCAAAATGACGTCAGCGGCTGCTGTATTTTTTTTTCAGAATCCCCGTCGCCAATTGTTATGACTCGTATAACAATCGTTATTGTATATGAAACGCGCAATGATACAGAAAATACGTACGAGCAGTCTTGATTGCTATTCGGTCCTTCCTAACTGCCTAGCCCAGCCAGTTGAGTCCAGAACACAAATAACAGCCTCGGAAATATGAATCATTATTCACAAGCACACTGGGTTATATATACTAACCAAAACAGACCCAATTATACCAAAAAATAGAAAAATAACATTTGTACAGTAATTGGCCAATGTGGCTGTAGCTAGGGGGAAAGTAATCAATAATAATAGTTCCAAGGTCAAAACAAAGGTTGTGATAAAAGGACCACACGGAAACGATTAGGTCACTTATTTAACAACTATCCAATAGGGAATGGGCATATTGTATTTGTCCATAAATAGACATCAGATTTAGGTTACTCATTTAACAACTATCCAATAGGAATAGGCGTATTACATTTGTCCATAAATGGACATCAGATTTATGATTCATAATTCGCCAGGGGATACAACAGAAGTGAAGTGTTTGAATTTCTCCACATGTGGTTCACAGCTTGTTCTGTACAACTCAATGTTGATTGGTACTTGTTGACCTTAAATCTGTCTTTGTCAGCCTATCTATGACTGAACTTTTTTCTTAACTGCAGTTAAACTAGAAACGAAATGTTTTTTTTCATGTATTTCACTTTCAGAAAGACCATATAATAACTTTAAAAAAAGCGATTTCTAATAACATGCCACTCAAATACAAGATAGATTAAATGTTTAATCATTCTAACTTAATCCTTCTTAAATAACGTAATGTAATGTATTTTGGAATCAGTAGGCATTGAAAGTTTTCTTAAGGACTATAATTACTAAAACTAATATGGAATTGTTATCAAAAATTTTCCATCGAATGAAATGACATCTGACAAAGAAAAGTATTTTTATGAATTAGATTTAATACATAGAATATTCATTTTATATCTAAATCTCAAATGTTCTTAGTTGTTGCATATTTGGTTATGTAAGAAAATGTGTTAAGCCATAAAAGTACTCATCCTCACATATAAATATTCAAAAAAATAACTGAAATAAGACATTCCTCGAAAAATTAAAACGATCATATTGAATCTGCAGAGTAACTCAATATTAATAAAAACGTATAATTTCAAGTCAAACAAAATAAGTAGGAGAAATTCACACAACAGAAGCCGGTTACTTTCAAATTATGTAAATAATTACTATTTTTCTTGACTATCAGTAGAGTTTCACTCTGGAAAAGGAAAAATATACCTTTGACTCAATTTGTCAACTAATACTCTCATAACCAATTTAACAACAACTTAAGGAATGGTGAATGGTTGCTCAATTTCGTGGATTGGCTGCATTGAAACATTACCACAATTGGGTGCCAGCTTGGTAGTCTAGTGCTTAAGCGCTCGCGCGCGAGACCGGTAGATCCTGTTTTCAAATCACGAGAGGCGGGATCATGGATGCGCACTACTGAGAAGTCCCACAATAGGACGAAACGGTCGTCCAGTGCTTGCAAGTTTTCCATTATGGTCTAGCTTCAAATGACTCGTGATTTCAACTATAAACAAAACGTTTAGACACATTAACAAAAAGTACAGTCAAACGATATGAAGAATGGGTTGTTTAAATCGTCAAAGAGCACACCACTGTATACATTTTAAACATTTTGAAAGTTACGCTATGGTAATAAAACATGAATAAAGTTGAAATAATGAATTAAAAAGAACTATCCGTTGAGTAGCTGAACAAAGCATACGAAAACCACTCTATTACAAAATTTTGCATAAAAAAGGAACAAAAACTTAGATTTGAATATTAGTTAATTATGTAAATGTTTAAGTAATACATAGTTTTGTACAAATTGTTCAAAATAATTCAGATAATTTTTGTAAGCATCTTAAGTGTTTTTTTCTTTTCATTGTTGTTTAGTTGATGTTCAATACAAGTGGTTTCGTAACCTGTTTCTTAGTATTTAAGGTTTATTCAAAAGTGATGATTCAAGCTTGGAAATAAAATCACTGTTAAATAAATTGTTTTTAAACACAAAATAAGTTCATTAAAATGTAAAGCCAATAAAAATTGAAATAGATATTTATCCTACTGGTTTCCTATAGTATCCGAACATTCTATACCTTTATGTTAATTGTCGCTTTGATTGTCAGTAAGGTCAACAACTTCGAGAATTTCTATGTATCTCGACTTTTACTATATGGTGTCATAACTCTTCTAAATGAAAACCATTCAACCCTCATAGCAGAATTCAAATAGAGCAATTGGTTTGTTCTGACCAGCACATTTTGTCAGGAAAATTCTGTACAAGAGAATTTTGCTAACCAAACCTGACTTAGTTGTTGGATTAAGTTGGAACATGTATTTTACATTGTTGACAGTAATTTAAAGCATAAATACCAATTAATTTTGCTTGATTCAGTAACTTCTATTCTTTTTTATCACCGCGAATTATACTCCTACTCAAAACACTAACATAATTATAAACTTGCTACTTTATTTTTAATAAAATTTTCGTCTTTAGTAATCATAATCTAAAAGAATGTAAATGGTTTCCGAACACACTTCGTTTAATGGTCGTGAATACTGTTATAACTTGTAGCCTGAGTGCGCTGTTTATATATGACTTGACGATGCCGCCAATTAGAGAGCAGTGATTTACTGATCGGACCAATGGCACACGAAACCTGTATGAGCAGTCTAGAGTCGTTGTTGGCCCTGCTTTCTGCCTAACCCAGCCAGTTAAGTCCAGAAAACCAATAACAGCTCCTGTGGCATGAATCATTATTTTCAAACATACCAAACAGACAAATCACATCATACCATAAAATAGAAAGTAACATTTGTACAAGATTTAGCCAAATGTGACTTTGAATAAGGCTAACAGTAATTAATAGACTAGGGATAACTCACGAACGGTTAAGCGTATAATAATAATCTATGCGTCAAAATAAAGCCTATAATAAGGGAGACGCGAATATGAATAGTTTAGTTGGTTAACAATTACACAATAAAAGTATACATATAGTATTGGTCCATACACAGTTCTCAAAGTTACTATAAGTTATCATAACAAATACAATAAATGATCGATTAGTCACCTAATAAATTTAAACATATCTAATAGTTGAGTTCATGAGTCCATTGAAGCTAGACATCCATGGAGAACCTGGAAGCACTGATGGAACTCTTTAGCAGTGGGCGTCCATGATCCCACCCCGCAAGATTCAAACCCGGGACGTATCAGTCTCGCACGTGAACATTTAACTTCTAGACCACTGATTTAGTGTTAATGTTTAAATTCAACCAATCCACAAAATTGCACCACCGTCCACTATTGTCTTCAGTGAGTTATTATCTCACAATAGACCTGATTGGACTCCACTGGTCACTGCTTCTCACTAGAACTCCAGGATATAGCTCTTGAAGCCATTCACTAGTTATACCGTGATGATTATTATCAGAAAGAAGTTTTGTAGATATTATAGTAATTTAATAGTTCAGTTCATGGTGGATGAGCACTACTGAAGAGCCTCACAATGAGACAAAATGGCTGTCCAGTGCTTTCAGGTTTTCCATTGTGGTCCAACTTCTGTTGACTCCTGGGCTCAACTATTATATTACCATAATATCCACAAAACCACCATCTGATATTAAACATGTCTAATAACATTCAACATATCGTTAGTTAGACTTTAATCTAATAAATCTCTCATCATTTTTTTCCTAGAAATAATAATCCCATACTTATTATTCTCCATTTTTTAAAATTTTCATTCCATTTCCTGAGTTTGTTATAGTTACTAATTTCATTATGAATATACATTAGAAAATTATAATTCTCAAACCAGGGCAATATTCAAAGTAATACATAATAATTTCTATAGTTAACAATATTAATCATATACTTTTCCCTATCGTTTACATTTATCTGATATTACAGTCACTGATCATTTTTTTTTAGTTATTCATTTAACCAATGTTAATTGACACACTGTATTCTCAGTAATTACTGACAATCATATTTTATTTGCATAACAAATAATCTATTCATAGATTGTTTTTTTAAAAAATAAATTTACTATTTTTGGTAAACAAATGAAATCTATGTTTGGATACATACTATTAACTTCGATGTTTAAAATTCAAATAAGCACAAACAATGCTTTCATTCAATTAAAACAAGAAAAAAAGAAAACAAAATGTATGCTCCAAAAATTCACTAAGGAATTATTATTTAAGAAATGATTCGAAATATAATATTAAAGTGAGTGGGACTTAAAATACAATATACAGAATGATCAAGAAAAAGTTTTTCTCATTAGTTGAAAGTCGAGGTAGAGGGAATAATCGGAATTCAATGGGGAGATTGATTATGAATACAGTGACCTTGAGTGCTGTTAGAGGTATGATGGTGGTTATCACTTCTAGGTTGACCACACTGTGAAAGGGTTCTTCTAGAGGAAACTGAAAAAGAAATTGGGTTAGAGTTGGTCTTGGTGACCTGAAAACGTGACCACAGTGCCCAAGAGACAGCTGCTTGAGGTCGGTCACACGACCTTTTGAGGGTAATTTTCGTGTTAGCTCCATACTTGTGAAGACCTTACCGCCGGAGACGGATAGCCTTGAGATAAGGTGAGTTGAGCATTTTCAGGGTCGATCTCTTCTAACCACACTCCTCCTTGTGGAAAGGCAGCGTTGCTATTATGCTGGTTGTCTGAAAGAAACACCTTAACGCCGTCACACCTCTGTACAGTCAGCAGTATGACTTCGCCTTAAGACATTGAGTTTGCTGCTTGTAGTCTTACCGCTTTCCAACCAACCTGTCTGGCATGATAGGACCTTGAGAAACGATTTTTCCAGTCAGTATGGCTCGATTGGTCCATTACGATAGACAAGCCCGCCCACCAAGTCAAGGTGGCAGCAATTTTGGAGTAACAGTAAGGGTTATTATGCACAATCTTTCCTTTATATATTACTATTATTGCAGTAACTACTTCTATAAATTTAATGTTCATCTTGTTGTGTTAATGTGGTGCGGCAACTTGAACCGATGCATGCCTGGTTCTACGTTGTAGCTTACTGAATGACCGATACCTATTGATTTGCTTAAAAAGTCGATTTTTTAAG